AGATATGTAAAAAGAAAGAAAGAAAAAAGAAAGAAAAAGGGAGAAAAAAGGAGATACTTGGCCAAGTTCATGTTCTTATTAATTAGTACTGTTTATTAATATTAATTGAGAACCAGCATGGTGTAATGGTTTGAGTGCTGAACTATGACTCTGGAGATCAAGGTATGATACACCACTCTGCCATGGAAACTGACTGGGTGACCCTGAGTGAGTCACACTCTCTCAGCCTCAGAAAGCCACATTATAGGTTCATCTTAGCGTCGCCATAAATCAGAAATGACTTGAAGGCACACAACAATAATTAATATTAATTGCATTATTATTAGTTGTTGTCATCGTTATTATCTTTCTACTTTTATTTATTTATTACTTAAATTTGTCTCCTGCCTTTTCTTCCAAAGTGGTACCCCTTCATATAAGAAGCAGCAACTGAGGAACATCCAGTGAAATCCACAGAAAAAACTGGAGACTCATCTTGAGATGTTCCCATTGTGATGTCTGTTTATTTAGCTTTTTTAAAAAAATCCATAGTGTTTCAGCCTGTGGGTGATCTTAAGGTCTTTTTCAGGGGGTATTTAAATCTAATTTTTTAAAAAATATCTAGACCAGGAACTCTAACCATTTACTGGGCAAATGAAAACCATAAAGTTTGAGTCTTCCTAGTTCAGAGAATTTTTGAAGTTAAATTCAAAACAACCCATGAAGAAGGTCTTACATAAAAGCATACGCAGGCTGAAACACATCAGGCTTTTTAAATAAATTAGCAACCAGCTTTTGAGAATCTTGAGATGTGTTTCTATCCCCCCCCCCTCCATTGACTCTTTCATATAGATCATGAAATTTTGTAGATCATTTCTCAGCCTCAAAGAAATAGCATTGTGGCTCACATGGCCCCAAGGTCCCAATTTGCCAACCACTTTCATTTTTTTGTCTTTGTTTTAGCATTTTTGTCAATCCATGTGACCCTTGGAGGGACCAAGGGGCAGAAAACTGGTCCTCTGGACCTGACACAGTTGCATACTCCAATATAGATAGATAGGTTGGTTGTTGTCAGTTGTCTTTGAGTGATTTATGACTTATGGCTACCTTAAAGGAATCCTATCATGGGGTTTTCTTGGCAAGATTTCTTCAGGGGAGATCTGCCATCACTTTCCTTTGAGGCTGAGAAAGCATGACTTGCCCAAGGTTCCATAGTGTGGTAGAGATTCAAACCCTGTTGTCTTGGGGTTCTAGTCCAGCACTCACACCACTACGCTATGATAGATACTAGATCAGTGTGAAGTTCCTTTCTGGTTGAAGGAAGACAACTCCACAAAGTCCATGGGGGCCTTTGAAATGGACAGTCAATATTTAGTTTGGAAAAGAATAGGAGGGAGGTGGCATGCTTCACTTTCAATGGATATTCAAGGTGGGACCTACTTAACCCAACTTCCTCAGATGGATTGTTGGCCTTTGTTGGTTGAGCTGATTAGACTGTACCCCACCCAGAAGTAGTCAAAGAGACATTCTTCCTGGAAATGAAAAGGGTCACAGAACACATAACATCCAAGCCCCGTTCGGGGGTGTAAAAATATAAGTTTCACTGTGGGTAGCAAAGACAAAAATTGGGGGAAGGGGCAGAAAGCTTTGTTCATCAGTCACTATAAAAGTGTTTTGTTTTTTTCTGGAAAAGAATTTTCAGAAGCAAAGACAAAACTATACCCCAATTAATGCAGTTTCATTAGAAAGGATGCTGTGAAACTCCCAAAAGAGAAATCAATTTAAAACGCAGTATTTTATACATGAAAAATAGTTTTGCTAATACTGTACACTGGAGTGTCCCATTGGAATTTAGTCTCAGTTTGGAGAAGACAAAGCTAGATAAATCTTGAGGTTGAGAGCCAGCATGGCATAGGGGTGTGAGTGTTGGACTATGGCTCTGAAGACCAGGGTTTGATTCCCTGCTTGGCCATAAAACCCAGTGGGTTTCATAGGTGACCTTGGGCAAGTCACATGCTCTCAGCCTCAGGGGAAGACAAAGACAAACTTGCTCTGAACATATCTTGTGAAGAAAACCTCATAATAGGTTCACCTTAGGGTTGCCAGAAGTTGGAAACAACTTGAAGGCACACAACAACAAGTGGTCTTGGTTGGGTAAATGGCCAACCTATTAATTCTCCATAAGACTCTTTTAGATGTTCTGAAAACTTGGCTAACACAGAAAACAACACTGTCTAGGCAGAAA